GTTTCATTCACTAACCTAACCTAAATAAACAATGAAATCAAAATCAATTAACGACTTTGCAATAGTGACGTTACAACAAAACTATATTATAAGAGATCCGTTATAACCATCAATGTATGTCTAATAAATCCAGGGAGTTATAATACATCGATGGACGGTTAGCCATACAGATACACCATAGAGATACAACAGTATCTCTCTCTATGATCGATAAGCATGCTGACAATGAGACACTTTATCTTGTTTGGATAAGTATAAACTAATTAATTTACTACCAACTTCCTAGTCACACCACTATTATACGTTACAATTATAACTGATATAGTTTTAAGAAAGTGCGGGGTCCACTGCAAAATAAGTTACGCCCATATTAGAACTACAGCTGTTTGTGTAGAACACGATTTGATCATGTTGTTCGGTGTTTGTCTGATCCACGCCCCCGAAGGTCTCGGCAGTCAGGTGGCTACAGGTGGGCGTGATCTCCGCAGGGTGGAGCCTGTGTCTACCGCGACGCTTCTCACGAAAATATCACTAACTTCTCGACCATGGACTTAGAATCTGAAACATGGAACTAAATAACCGCTCATACGGAAAACAGAAATCCCAATGAAAATTGTTTTTACCAGCTAAATTGTTTAATGAGTCAGTGGATTTTATGATGATCTAATTCTAATACTTGTGTACCTACTGACTAGACTACAGTTGTTGATATTGTTGTGGTTATGTTTTCCATCAATATAAACAGGCCTTGGCCTTACCTACCGCCGACAATCGTTGGAGTAGTTCTGGTTTCTCAAACAAATGTTGTACTGTTAAGATGCCGTTTATTTAAAACATATTTATTACGAATATACTTTCAGTCCATGATACAAATAAATTTATTAATATAGTAGTTTACATACAGTAAAGCCTTCACGTTGGTGGCGATTTTTACTTTCTCATCCTACATGGAGAAAGTATTTTTTCGTCAAAATTTTCGAGTTTTAATTTTGGGTGGATATAATAGTTTTGGGTTCCCATGAGCCCAAATAAGTGTGTTTTGAATTTGATGTCTCTGTGTGAGTGTTTGTGTCTGTACATGCGTGAATGTGTACAGTCTACGTACAACAGTATCTACGTAGTGTGGTCTGATTTTGATGACATTTGGTATGGGTTTAACTCCACAGCACTCCCCAGTAGCTTCCGGTATTTTTTTTTTAATTAGAATTCTTATGTCTATTTTTCCTTACCCCCATAAAACAACAAAAAAATCAAATTTTCTCAAAAACGGCCCGAACGATTTGGATTTTTTACCCGGTAAGTATACCTAGCCTACAGAGGAAGAACATATCATTAACATCTCTAAATAAACTCCCCATCACGGTAACGTAACACACATTATATAACGTAATACGCCATAGATACCTTACAACTCAAACTCGAGTCTCGACTCTTTCGCGTCAAGGAAAACGCGGCCTTGTTTCTCTTCCAGCTTCGAAATTTTGACTTGCCACATTTTGATTCGGTATGTTGCATACTAAAACTTTTTATAATGATCATAAAAACATAAAGTTCATGCATGCTACCCCAAAATTTGAACTATTTAAGTTTTGTTTATCCAATAATCCAATAAGTACCTATTGAAACAAAAGTGATCGGAGAAATCATATATCGCATTATACACATTATTGCAGTTGTAATGTAATCTTTCGTCCAATGACTCGCCACCTGTTGTACGCTGTACGCATCCCTTGTCCCAACCTAGGTGTCCCGTGTCCCGACCTAGGTGACCCGCCGGATCCATCCCACAGGAGGTGGGTGGGAGTTGCTCAGGTGTCCACCAAGTTCGCCTACCACATCCTGCCACCCTGGTACCTTATTTAAAAAATTTGTTGAAAACGCCAGAAAACCGTTTCCAGAATTCTTGTAAAACTGGAAATCGGTTGAAGTATTTTAATAAAATATAATAATAATATGTCGGGCCCCCTACCGCCCTCGCACGCCCATTCATTTGTCATATGTGCAATACAAGTCTGGTGAGGTATGGTCGCTGCGGTGTTCTGCTCTCCTGGTACTGGCGGACGCGTTTCTTCAGCCATGTGTGACCGCCCTCCCCTCCTGAACACGCCCACCAACCGCCACTCAGCCACTCTCCTTCACACTTCCCAGCTGTCTTGTCTTGTCTTGGGGAGAGCTACCAGCTTGCACCACTACTATTCAGTTGTGGTTGTGGCATATTAATGTAAGCTTAAGAGAATATCGTGAGTGATGAAAAGACCTATTCTAGAATGTTATGTCACTCTGTATGTACTGTATTTATTTTTTTGTAATCCCAAAATCAAAATTTATCGTATTACAATGATTTAAGTCTCTTGATTTTCAAGAATCTTTTAATACGTGTTCTTGTTACATTGTGTATGTATAAAACCAACAATGTTGAATGTTGTGAGTTGTGAACATAAAATTTATTAGACTACAAACAGTAAAGTTAAATTTTTCTCTATAGCATATTTAATTACCCCCACCACTGGCCATACTTGCAAAGCATAAATTACAAACATCCCAACGGAAGAACTGATAACAATAAAATGCTCTTTCATAATTTTAATCAATTTAATCCTATTCTCATCTCCATTCATAGACCTACTTGGTTTAAATGGTCGCCATTTCAATGCAAATTATTAGCCTAAAAAGTATAAAAAGTAGGCCTCTATAGTCTAAAACAAGCACGGTCACAAAGTTTTATTTTCATCAAAGGATTTTTAATATTTTTGTTTATTGGGGGTATTTCGGTATTTTACCACGAGAAATTTACACAACAAATTTGTTACGAGTAGGTTATTTTATTAAATGCTCATTTAGCCTAACTATACAGAATGTTGATGTTAAACTTTCTGGACAGAACACACACTAAGGGGTCGCGAGGACATCAACATCAACATTGCCCCTTCGTCTGATATCAGAGGTCGGTGGAGGGTGGGGACGGCGTCGAGCCGGGTAGGGATCCCCAGCCATAGGGAGGGAGGTAGGGACCTGTCAGTCTTCCATCATACCACGGGTCGGGAATGTCATCCGGCCGCCTTGATAATCAGGGGAGCAGAGGCAACTAGGCGATCTAGTCAGCAGCGCCGCGTCGCGCCAACAATACGATCAGCTGATTGTTGTTCCCGCCCCCTCCTTCACTCATGCTTCCGTTATCATTTTCATTCAATCTACATAGTACCCGGTTCGGTTCCGATCAGTATTTTAATGGACGATGTAGTATGTATAATGGATATGTAAACGTGTTGCTTGAAATGTTTTTTTTAGATTTTCTTGACGGGAAAAATATAATTTTCGTCATAATGCAGCAAAAACAGCCGTGCATGTAAGTAGCATTTTTACTCTCTAGGGAGTAAAAATCTGCTGTTATAACAGTTGTAAATTTTGATTGTGACAATCGTAGCGATCGAAATTATTTATCCATTGATTTATTTAGGTAAGGGGTTAGCCTATTGTTGTAGATCGCTCGACATTTCGATGGTATATAATGTACTGTAACACAATCGTAATAGACGAAATGATTGAATCACTTACTAAACAGCTGCTTCTGTTTATTTGCATTAGCAGAATTAAAACCAAGCGAAGTCGTTTTGAGAGGTTATCTTTACTTTCCATAAAAATTATTTTGTTTTCTAGCTTAGCTGGGTAAATTAATGATGCAACATGACGAAAAATATAGTTCACCACGCGGGCAAAAAGAGTCTTTTAAAACACTCGCTCATTTTCCGACATCGGCTTCGCCTCGATCGTAAAACTTGACCTCGGGTCAAAAAGAGTCACTTTAGGCCCTAGTGATGAAATATAGAAATATAGACTATATAATACTGTAACTCTTTTACATAAAGTATTCGTGCTGGTGATATTATGAGGCTAAAATGTATACATATTACAATGCTACGATGCAACAAACTTTAAACTGTACCATATTTATTAGACTTTTTGACTGCCAAACAAATATTGGCTAACGACTTTAATCTGTCTCAGGTGTCATCATCAGACTAAACTAAATTGCATTCTCGTCGCCTGTTGAAACCAGTAATCAAAAGATTGCCATCTGTTTCCTCAAGTCAAGCCAAGGTCCAAGGACGTGCGTCGGTAACAGCTGATAATATCAATATGAACAGTTCTGGCGGCGCGCGGCGCGGGACAACGTGTAGTGTGTGGTTCCTACTCACTCCTGATACCCTGACTATTGCCGCTCTCCCAACAGTTCTTTGTTGATCTCACTTTCTCTCTCGATTGGAGGGAAGATGATGACGCAGTGGCAGTCAATAGTTTCTGGTCGCACCGCTACGTAGCAGCACCGCACGACACTCTGACACTAAGATTAGATTTTAAAGTTGAAAGAATACTGGTTTGATTGATATATGCTAATCCAGTAATATATTAATAGAGTGATAGCTTATTGTGCAATAAATTTTCGAAATATAATCAAAATATGTCCAAACTACGACCAATGCTATATTTGACTGCGCCTTAATAAAAATATGGGAAGTTGGACAGTTTTCATTAAATTCTCTCCATAAAAATTAAGTGTAAAATTACGCTTGAATGTAGACTTATATCTTATGTTATTTGAAGGGGTTTAATACACTGAGCTATAATAATTCTAACTGGAGGTAGCACTGAATGTCAAAGATGAGTGTCGCCAGCCGCCATGTTTGCGTGAGGTGGGTGTCCATAAGAAGCCATGTTATTGGTTATTGCTATGACAAAAAAACTCACTGCTATACAACCTATGGTTTCCAATGGCCACAGGAGTAAGTAAGTAAGTATACAACCTAGTTATAAGAAGCCATGTTATTGCTATGGTAAGAAAAATTCCAATCAGACAAATTAAAATTAGCTTAATCTGCAGGTAAGCTGCTGTGAGGATACTGACTGTTCAGTGTTCTCCTTCTGAATTGGGAACGAAACAGTGAAATTGAACCACAGAATGAGGAATGGGTCTGGAAACTGAACTGGAACAAGAGTGGAACTGGAAATGACGATTTTGTAATTTTGTAAACAAATCCAACTCGTCGTCTATAAAATAAAATAATTTAAATTTTGTTTGAAAAATGAATCAACCTATGGAGTTAGATGTTTGGAAAGGAGATTGGGGACTTACCTCAATTGATATGGAATGCCTGCGCCTAATAGTAAGTTAATGAAGCTTTTTAAGGCTTTCTGTGGAAGGTTTTTGAGGTTAAGCTCAAGCTGTCCTATGTCTCACTGTTGAAATTACTGTAATTTTTTTCATCACAAAATAAACTTTTCTTGATAACAAAATTACTTATTTGAGCAAACGCTTAAGATTTTTTATTCCTTTTCATTCATGAAATATTGGTAGGGGCCTAGCTTAGAATGTTTGGAATCAAATACCTAATCAAATATTAACTTGCAACAGCTACAACTTAATGCTTTAAATTCCAACTATAACTTAAGATACCTACCTTATTTCTAAAAAAATTCTGAACGTGGGTTAACATAAGTTAATATTTTTGAGGGTTGTTATTTCCGACCTACACATTACCTACTTACATTCAAAAAAACTACTATTCTTTGTCATCAAAAGTTACTAAAACTTTCTTATTTAAATTTCTACCCTTTGAGTATCAACATTTCATTGTATGTCACTGTTAAGCTTCATATGCCACGTTTACCTGCGTCAGTGTATTTCAAGATAGGCCTAGGTTACATGATACGTGATGTCTCCGTCCTTAGTCCTTTGCCGTAACTTAGGGAATTGGAGAGGTCAGGGTTATTACAAAGAATAACCTAACTTACTAAGTTAGTTTTTGTCCCCGCTAAGGTAACTAACTGTCTATGTAATAATGGAAGCTTGACTCCACTAGATAATTTTTTGATTATAATAATTAAATTTTTAAGCTCTGAATTTAAAGTGTTTGCGTGAGTGAGTTTTGTTTTGAGAGTTGGCGTGGCACTTGATTTGTTTAGACCTGTGGTTTGCATGTGATCCGCTATCATAGTACCCTCTGATAAAGAGTTGCAGACTCTGCTAGTCACAATAGCCCCTCAGTTTTAGAATATTATTGTATTGGTGAACGGCAGTACAATGGTGTAGGCTAAGTAAATATTATGGATTTGTGTAAAAATAATGAAAATCAGTTTTGCAACTGACTTTCAAATCCACCTTCACAATGTATTTTAGGCCTAACTTAATCATTTTTTAAACTTTTACTAATAATTTTGGGTAATTTTGTTTGTACGTTGCTTCATTCCAGACCCTGTGCAAATTTGCTGGCGCAACTGTGAATGTTAATGCCAAAAGGCATGCACTAACCACCCCTAAAGGTCGTTTACCAGTTTTTCGGCACTATAAGCACACGTTCACAACATATGAGGAGGTTTCAAACTATTTACTAACAAAGGTAAGTTAATTTTTGTGTTAAGATAGGTTAAAGGTGGACTTTAACCAATTACAACATTCCAAACACTACAAGTAACACATAAACATCTCCACATTCAATTACGTAGACTTACGTACATCATTAAACCTGAAAACTGGGGTGAAAGGGATTAAAACCTGAGGCGTTTAAACATTATTGGAAGAAGTAAGACACAGTATATTGTGTTTTCATTGCTAATAACCTTAACAAGTAATACTGCCAAGTACATTTTTATCCACGCTTGTGGTAACCCATAAAATGATCTGTTAAAGAAATAAACAATGCAAATCTTTTAGTATCTATGATGGAGTAATTACTTGAAATCTCTTGGTGGTTTTTTCTTCAGAATCTCAGTCCGGACCACGGGCTTACAGAAAAACAGAAAGCTGATATAGTGGCTTTTACAATGTTCCTACAAGACCACCTCGATCCAGCTCTTCATTATGTTTGGTAAGTTAATGACCCTCCTTTATTTCTATAATAAAACAAGGTCTAATTGAGTAGGCCTATGACGTTGTCAATCCTCTATTCACAACATACAGCAGATCGTCAAAAATCCTAACGTCAAAAATCTGAAACGCCAAAAATCCGAACCGCTCCTGAGGATTTGAAATATTGAATCAGCTCACCAAAGATACCTAAGTATAAAAACCATTGTTTTTATTTCATTCACTCTATCCTAGAACTGTATTTTTAATACTGTAGGCCTAATTGTGTCTATTAAGCATTTCTAGGTTGTTTGAAAATTTAAAAAAAATCGGTAATCTGATCTAACCTACAGTCCCAATTGGTTTGGATTTTTAACGCTCTACTGTAGTTCCTGACCTTCATTCAATGCTCAATTTTCAAATTCAAAACTTACATCACAACTGTCTACAGTAGACAGTCTTGAAGTAATTGTGTCTATTAGGCATTTCTAGGTTAGGCCTATGTTTGAAAAATTGAAATGATCGGTAATTTGAACTAACCTCCAGTCACAATTGGTTCGGATTTTTGACACTCTTATGTAGTTCCTGACCTTCAATGCTCAATTTTCAAATTCAAAACTTTAACACATCACAACCGTCTTGACAGTCTTAAGTGGTTATAGTGCTTGCATTCAAAGGTTGCTAGTTTGGTCCCAGGCGGGAACGAATCTGGACCTAGATGTAATTTTTTGTTATATGGCTATTAATTTATGATGTTATCCAACAAAATGGCGATATTAGGGGTAACAAGACCAGGGTTTAGACCGTTACGTTACTAAATGTAAGAAAAGTGATGGAAACTGCGTGGTCATGCTGGTTTGCTTATGTAAGTTGTACTGTAATGTTACTCCACTGTCTTTTGATCATAACATAGATCCCTAGGTCTGTTGCGACGTTCAATTATGGTTAAACAGAGAAATCTTGGAGGCAATAAATGAATCCTCATAGTTATTTACATTATTTTTCAGTTCCAAGTGTGAGACCATGTGTTTTGCAGGTGGGTAGATCAGCGTAACAGAGACAACCTAACCCGCAAGTGGTGGGCAAACACTCTGCCGTTCCCTCTGGGTATGATCCTGCCCAACTGGTACTACAGTGCAGCAGTCAAAGCCGTCGAGGCTCTCTACCCGGACATAGAATCTGAACAAGTGCTGGAGAAAGAGGTTATAACACAATTACTTCAACTGTTTTGTAGGATTAAAAATGTTGATGGAACAAAGGCTAGATAACTGTAAGTCAATTTAAACATGTCTTCATACAAAATATGTTAACTGTGCAAGGGGAAACAAGCACTAAACTTATTTTTCAGTGAAGGATGTGGTTGTATTTAATATACAATTGAGATGTTATTGTAAAACTGTGAGGGGGTTTCTATTAGTGTGTTTGCAAAAATTAAAATTAGATTAAAAAACTATATCATAAACAAAGCCAAACAGATTTAAGTGTATTTTTATCCTAAAAAGTACCTCAAGCTAAGCATGGTCTGTGTCAGAAAAATACGAAATTTGCGAGTGAAGCTTTTAGAAATTAATATTTTTATTGCTCATGGCAATGCTTATAATAGAGAAATCACAATGTGCATTTGCTCTTTTTTACACAATTCTCCTTTTATTTATCTCGGCACTCACATTGTGCTCAAATGTATAAAATACTAGCCTTGAACTACATTATTCTCTACCATCAGATGTGTTCTATCCTTGTATGTCTGGCAGATCTACGACCGGGCCTGTAGGTGTTTAACCACCATCTCCCAGAGGTTGGGTTCACAAGAGTTCATGTTCGGTGCTCATCCTACTTCCATTGACGCCACGTTGTTCGCCTACCTCGCCCCTCTAGTCAAGACCCCGTTCCCCTCCAGCTACCTCAAGAACCAGGTGATCGGCCACAACAACCTCCTCAAGTACGTCACCAGGATATCGCAGAGATACTTTGCATCCGAAAATCAAGGTGAAATTAACAAAATACTGTAATGTTTTTAATGCAATGTTTAGTGGCTGGTCAGGATTTGTTTTGAAAAGGGATAGAGTTTGGCTTGCCTAAGGAAATAGAGGTCAGGGGCTAATAGATACACAAATAAAAGCTCACGGAACATAAAAAAACACCTAGAGTAGGTTGAAAAAAAATTGCATCCTACTCTGTGATATTCTCTTCGAAAAAGTCCTTTATTATTTAAGACAAGATATCAGTGTTACATTTTGTGTTCTTTCATTGTGTATTTTTTAGTCCCTTTATAAGTTCATTGTGTATTTTTTATAAGTTTAGCTAGAGCTTACCTCAACTGTTCTGAGGTAAGCTCTAGCTAAACTCTATACCTTTTCAAAACAATTCAGAAGTTACTGTAATTTATTTTTATTATTCCCCAAAGAGTATTAAGGGTTTTAATAGACATATTGTTATTCTTTGGGGCCATGTTATTGAAAATTCTATGTTTTGTTGGTACCTTAATTTTTTTCCATCTTCGGAGAATGTTCTTAAATTTATGAAATATTCATAACCTCAACTGCATTCACAAAGACGCTATTTCCAACAGAATTCGAGGCTGAGAAGCAGAAGAAGAGTTGCTGCCAGCCAGGCCAAGCAGACGACAATCCTCACAAAGTGCGCAACCAGGTCCTAGCTGGTGTGTTCGCGGTGTTAGCCATGGGTACATACGCCATCACCACAGGCCTGGTACAGGTATGTTCAACTGTTGTAGATGTTTTAAAAGATTTAGTGATTGTGCAGTAGAATCTAAATTATCCAGGATAATGGAGGCAGGATAGGACAATAGGAAGGTTGTCCTTGAATAACTATAGCCCATGGTAAATCAAACGCTTTTGGAAAATTTTGTACTTTGGGACAAGAATTGTTTGAAAAGTAGTGATGGGTCGGTACTTAATGTCAAATGTCGGTTCCACCGGTTTTTGGAAAATTACTGGGACCGGGAATCGATGGTGAAATGTCGGTACCGATACCTTCGGTACCAAGTTAATTGGTAAAATTCTTATTTACAAAATTCTTGTGGTCACAGTGGTTCTCAGATTATAGGAAGCGTTCCCATTCTGGGAAATTTACTACCACACAACTGAAACTATCAGAACTTTATTAATTATCAATTTCACATCAGCCATTTGGTTTTCCTTTAAATGTATAACCTCAATTAAGTTGAAGTTGGTTACTGTATTAACACTATGAGCTCCAAAAGCTGGTATTCAGATGCAGGAGAAACATAACCAAACTTACTATCTATGCCAGTTTTACTCTACAAAGACGGCTGAAAGCTATACTAGACCTTTTTGGCAAACTAGGAACTACTGCATTTGGGCGTTTGGTTGACAATGTTGTTAGTGGTAGACGGTAAGGTCTGGTCAATGAAAAAGCAGTTAAAAGGTTCCTCGGCCAGGAGACATTACCGTAGAATAAGGGGTTCAGTCTTGTCTGTCTCAGTCAGGTTAGGTATACAACACACGAGGAGTACACCAGTCTGTCCAAAGCTTGGATTTTCTTGTGATTTTAATTAGGCTTGACATTACCTCTAAATTGATGTAATTTGTATTTCTCTTTACAATATAGCGTATACTCTTTAAGTTACCTTGTATAATAAGTCACATCAATTCAAAGCTTAACATTAAATCGTTCATACTTGTACAATATGTAAAATTCTATTAAAACTTCAATTCAATATTCAAATTTCCATTTTCAGATTCCAAGCAATTGGTTATGGGGTGTTAAAAAACCCCCCAAAACCATCCGAATTCCAGTTCGTTATGCTGTCTGAAGGTATTGAATTGGTGTTGGGTTTGCGTTAATTTCTCTTACTTTTGCTTAAGTTATTAAAATTGTTTGTGAATAAATTGATATGTTTTGATTTTTGTTTTTTTTAATTCATATTTTCAAATGATATTAAAAAATTACAAATATATTTTTCTGTAGATGAATTGGTAAATGAAATAAATAATAATCTGCTGATTATATTATGTTTTCTCTCTTCAATAGCCTAATGTGTGTGTGAGTTAAATTACCTTGGTGTTTGCATGGCAATACTTTCAAGTCCAACTAGTTAGTTTCTTTTACATTTCTGTTGCATATTAACAAATTTAAAAATATTGTCCTCTGGAGATGATTGTTGAACTTGTAGCGAGACTCGTCGACGTTTTGGATGCATTGGAACACTTTACTTCAAGATGAACTAGGGGGTGGGCGGACCAGGCGGTGCGGCGGAGCCAGGGCAACAAACAAATTTTAGGGAACAGTAAATTATTAATACGAATAAAATAATAAATTCATTAAGTGAATGTGAAGAGTACAATTATCTATATTACATTTTACGCAAAGAACAAGCCTAAGAAGATAAACGGCAATTCAAACATCGATTTAAAATTATAATTTAAGCCCAAATATAAAAACAAACCACTCGGCTTGTGTGTCGAACAATCGTCGCCACCACGTTACGACATTACCCAGGACGAGTGACAGCGTCAAGCAACATTGCAGCGGTTGGGATTGACCTCGACGTATTCCTCTCTCTCTCTCTCTGCCCCCTCCCACGACGTTGTGGTTACTTTATTATTGATTATTTTGGTAGCATGGGCTACCCTTACCTCCGAGAAAGAGGAGTTGCAAAAATGAGATATTTTGCTACTTTTTATCTTAATAAACAATGTCATAATTTGCTTCAACAATTAATAACATTGCCCTATTTTGGGGGAAATCCAAGATGGCTGAAAGTCCTGCCGACTCTTAGGTCAGATTTTAAACAAAAACCAAAAAATAATTGATATCTGCAACTGTAAACATAAACCAGCTTATGAAATTAAAATAATTTTAAAATGTGCAATTTACACTTAGAACCCTTAGTACATAATTAAGTCAGAGTTCAGGGAGACACCATAATTCGGCGATCGCTCAAGGAAGGGGTGGAGCCCAGGAGTAAACAATTAGGCGGGACAGTGGCGTAGATACGGGGGGGATCAGGGGGATATATCCCCCCTTCAACCTATAATGGGTAAAAAATTGTAATAACATTTAAAAAATAATGTTTTGACGTATGCAATGAAATAGTGAACCTTTTTAATTTTACTTCTATTGTATTAAGCTTGTTTTTCAAAAGTATATTTTCAATATCAATAAATTGTAAATAAACTGCAATGTCAGTGAAAGTAGTATGGTTTTTGGGCGCGAAACAGAGTACAAATACAAGTCACGGAAGGTCAACACCCTATCCGCCCCTCCCCCTACCACCACCACTTCACCTTTTACACCTACCTGAAATTAACCATTTTAACGTGAGCAATAAAATAGTTAATCAAATGTCATGCCTATTGTACTAAGCTTGTTTGTTTGTACGTATACTTTCATTATCGATGAATAAATGGTAACAGGTAAACTACATGCCGGTAGCAGTAGTGGGGTGGGATATTTGCGCGCCAAACAGACGTGAGTCACCGGACGTTCCACGTTCAACCGCCCATCGACACCCTCCTCCTCTACCCCGTCACCCACACTACGCTTGATCTGTCGTCTGGTGTTAATTATTGTGCCAGTGTGTTTTTATGATTTTCGTATTCCGGGTTGTCTCATGAGTGTTATTTTATGTCGAAACAAATTAAACTGATTGGGTTTTCGCCCCGAAAAGAAGAATTTGATGGCGTTAGCTGGTGTGGCAATGGAACAACGAATTTAAGTGATTTAATTACTTGCCTTTCAAATAAAATTTTTTAAATAGGCCAAGTACCGTTAACATATTAATCAAAATATTCAGTGTTAAAGGATAGAGAAACATCGTCAAATGTTATCATATAAAAGCCTAGCCTAAGAACTTAAAAAATAAATGTAATAAAAACTAGTCCACATTCAATTAAAGCAAAAAGTTTAATTTCATAAGTACAAAATTGCATAAAATTGTATTAAGTATTAACACCAGATTTCACTTCCTAAACGCTTAAAAATTGTGTTTAGAGAAGTTATTTTTCTCAAAGTTTCCGGGGGAGGACCCCCGGACCCCCTTGCTTGATGGGGGGATTCCATACCCCCCAGACCCCCCGGAGGGCGGTGGTCGCCGATCTCGCCCAGGGCGGCAAAGTCCCTAGGGCCGTGCCTGGCTGTGAACTAGCTCATCAGGATGGTTTGCTGTAATGCATCCGTAACTTTGTCAAGTCTTGCTACAAATACATGGCCTGAAGATTAAGATTTTAATGTCAATTATACCCGTGGAATCCTACCAAATTGATGATTTTATTCAACAAGCTAATATAACTGTACCTAATGGCGTCAGATGTTTAGTGAATTGAGACTGTAGAGGTAGGGAAACTGTGCTGTACTGTACTGTAGAACTCAACCATCCAAACTATTTGCTTTTTATGTTTATCGCTTACAGATATAATATTAGAAACCTTAAACTACAGTAATAAGAATCGATAATACAGAAGGCCGAAGCCGTGATTATGACTAAACCTTGAACATCTTCTGCGGTTGTAGACATGATCATAGTCTCCCGTGGTCATGGAAACCTCCTTGATCGTGGCAAAATTCTAAACATATCCTGTTGGTTAATGGTTAATTAGACATAATCATCATCTCCCGTAGCCATGGAAACATCATCATTGTCTTTCGTAATAACAAAATCTTGAATACCTCCCGTTGTTTTGTTTACATCATTTGTGAGTCGGTTGCTCAGTTGGTAGCGTCGCAGACTTTGGGCCCAAGGCAGCGATGTCGTGGGTTCGGATACTGGTCACTGCCGAAAACATTTTATCAGTACAGTTCACCTTCGTACTGTACCGGCTCACCCTTTGCTTTGCTAGATACGTTCCACACACAGATCTAGAGTTTACGTGGACCGGCTAATGCAAGGTTAAAAGAGACCGCCAACCCTAGTATAAATATATTCTTACACAATTACAAAAGAAAATCATCATCATCCATGATTGTAAACGGTAATTTTTTTGACTGTGAGATATTTGCAGACGCTTTATAGGTTGCGGTAGTAAAAAAAGCTGAGCTTAACTCATCCTATTTTCTATAAAACGCCCCGATTTTCTGTAGATATTTAACTATCTATATTTTGATTTGAATCTGGTACACATAATTGAAATTCTACTGTAGATGAATGGTAAAAGGCCTGGATGATTAATATAGTAAATTCTACTACTTTCTACTTCTTCCCCATTGGGTTAATATTGAGTTAATTATGTGTACTGATTTTGCTACTTTCAATTCTTCCACTCTTTTCATTAGCGAGTTGTTTGTTTGATCAGCTTCTTATTTACCTCTTAACAAGAGATTTCCTGCAAACACATTATTATTATGATGATGGTTATGATATATGCACAGTACACTAGTAACTAGTAGTTGTATTTACAACTGGTTTTTATTTTTTATATAACACAAACTACAGTAAAACAGCCAAATTTCACATTTCATTTTCACTTTGTTGACATCAGTAGTTGTGCATATTGTTAACTTCATACGTCAATGTTGATAAATTAACTTGAAAACTTCACCATAAAATATGTTTGAACAAAATGTGTAGGGCCTATATGAATTTAATATGTCTGCTTACTAAACTCATCTTCTAAAACTAAATGTTCAGTTTTTGGTTTTGCATAATAATTTTACCCTGATTTACATCTACTGAAAACTATTCTCCAGTCTGTTCTTCCCTTTTAATTATTCTTGGTTATTTATGATTTAAGGTTAGATTGGATAAGACTACATACTAAAATTAATACACCATCATTATGGCCTATCTTTGTCTGATACAAATATTGCTTTGTAGCTAAGAGGTTTTATCAGATGGATTCCGATTCAATTCTGAGCAGTCAGTAGTCTTTTGATGGTTTGAAACTGGACCCAACCTGTATTGGACAATGGACATTACAAAAGGTCCTGGCTAGGACAGTAACGAAGTTACAGAAATAAAGCGTTGTTAACATAAATGGTTAACGTTTCTACTGACGTGATGTGACAGGTTGAAGGAGCTACATCGCAGGCTGGAGGTAACCTAGCGGATACTGAAGACGATGACTACTGACCAATCTCACACTTAGCCGCAAACTACTAGCCACAAGACTGCCTCTTACTTAATTATTGTTATTAGTGATCTGTTTATGTTACATTTTCAATAAAGCGCTATCAAACCAACCTGGAACTTTGTTGTTTCTTGGTGATAAAAATGAAAAAAAATTTTCCTAGTTACCTGACAATGCACTGATTATAGCACTCAAAGTAGCTTATTAATGCATTTGGTTAGACAGACATGCACAAAAGAAAGAGTTAATTGAATTAAACAAAATAAGAGGATAAAAGAATTAAATTGCTACACAAAACGATATGAAGAAGGTAAAAGCACAGTTTTAAAGAAGGGAATGTTTACATTTATTAGTTTGTATTTTTGTATTGTTGCGGCCGTGTGGGGATTTTGCAATATACTTTCTCTCTCTCTCTCTCTCTCTCTCTCTCTCTCTCTCTCTCTCTCCTCTCTCTCTCACCATGATCAGCTGGCCTACTCTGTATGAATACTGAACATTAGTGTTGAATGTTTTCAAAGATAATTTTTAAGATTAAGAATGAAACGCAGAAGACCTTAGAAGTGAAAATATAATGAATCTGCTAGGGAGAGAAGCTACAATCGATCGTCAGGGAACAAATTTAACTAATCTAATAAATGTTTAATTCAATCCAAGCAAAGCTCGGTCTCCTGGTACTAAGACTAAACAAACATAGTGTTTTCACAAGCCCAACTAGAATATGTAATGTATCATTAGGTTTAAGTTTTTTTGTTTACTAAGGATCCAGTTTCCTTAAATTTGTAAATATCATAGTTGATTTATTAGCTACTGGAATCAAACCTGAACACTTAATCTTAAATGTTCTTTGTATAAACCGATGATTTATTTTTAACTAGGGATGGATGAGATTTGATTTTTAGTTCAAGACAAGACGAGAGGGGATTTTTATTTCTCATAAAATTTCAAGACGAGATTGAGATGGGATTTCCCTTCTCATACTTAACGGGAAATGCACGTTGCACATTTTAACCTGAGTTTTTAACATTTTTAAATACCTGCTGATTTATGACAGACCGGTTAAATACAAAAATAATAATAATAGAAAAAAATATTAATAAGGCCTAACTTATTGAAAATAACTCTTCGGCATAAGAAACATGGAGATTGGAGATATCAGTTAGTATAGTTCAAATTTATAAGTCTAAAACTCACTCTTACTAGTTAAGTATCAAGTAAAAATTTTTGTTATTTTTTTAGAATGATTTTGGAGTGACTTATTTTGGCTACTATCACACTGCTTACACTAACAAAACTTCTCATAATTTGTGATAACAAAACAAAACATTATAATACAATTAAGCTATATTTACATTATTGAATTAATAATTAAATGAAAATGCCTCCGCAAAGGAAACGCAACATCAACACGCTCCTGTGTTGCGGGTATTGCATTGACTTTCTGCAGGAGGTTTTTTTTAATCTCGTGTCGGAAAAATCTTGACCAAAAAATCTCGTCTTGTAGAACAACATTTAAAATTTCCCGAAATTTGGAGACCCGTCCATCCCTATTTTTAAAGTACTCTTTTAATTTTTGAGCTAGAGGAATCGTCATGTTTTGTCTTATTTACAATAAATTACCAAAAAAACGCTTAACCTCATTGATAACCAAGCAAAAATAACTAAACCAAAAATAGAAAAAAGTGGTGCTGGTATTGATGTTGAAGAATCTATAGGACTTCTATGAGGCCTAAAAACGAGTATGAATGAACAACTAATAAAAATCAAACATTTAAAAATGAAACATTTATTTAACAAGACAAATGAGATGTCTTAGTCACTTTACAAAAGAAATTGATAAAATATTGAAAACATCAAAGCTCTGCCACTTTATAGGAAACAATAACAAAATACGAACTTCAGAGTCCTGAGAAAATGCCGTATACACAAATAAATTAACAGATCTTAAACGGAAAAGTTACAACTGAAAATGGAACTACACTTGTTTGTTTAGAGTCCGAGGCACAACGCCACTATTCTATACACAGCCACACAAATACTTTGTACATAGTCAGCATAGAACACCATCAGTAGATAACTTCGTAGACGGTCGCCTTTTTGTCTCCCGAGCCCGTCACAATGTACTTGTCGTCAGCCGAGATGTCGCAACTCAACACTGAGGACGACTCTTTGGACTGAAACACAACAAAATTGTCAAGTACAGCACAAGTGTAGATTTCATGCAGGTGGAAAAATATTAGTTTTGACATAATAAGATGTGGAATTGCCCCTGAACTGGTTTATAACTAATATAATGGTTTAATTACCTTCAATCTCCAGTTCAAAGTAAGTCGATTAATGCGACCTAGGTTTGCCGTCGTGCTGAAACCTAGGTCGCATTAATCAACTTACTTTGAACTGGAGACTGAAGGTAATTAAACCATTATATTAGGAAAAATATTGCTGTCTTAAATATCCTCAACAATAGATATATTACCGGATTACTCAAAAATATTTAAAAATGCAGTTAGCTACTAATATCATTTTACTATGAACTGTGATTTGCAACAAATGTCTTTATTATCAGTTGGAAACAATTAATTATCTGTCATGTTGTAAAATATATATTTCATTATACTTAGGGCTGAAAGTACCCTAAATTCAACACTGCTTGGAAAGGTCCCAGAAAGTCCCTAAAAAAATATATTATTGTAGAAAAGGGGCTATCGTTGACACTCTGCCGATTTTTACTAAAACACAGATTTAGACAAAATGATGAGTACCTGAAAGATAGAAGCTCCGTAAGGTGTCCGCCAGGCATTGAGGAGGTTGTCCTTGCCGGTAGACACAAACCACTTGCCACACGCGGCGAAGCGCAGCGACAACACACAGCTCTCGTGGAGGTGCAGCTGGTATTTGTCTGGCTTGTGTGCGTGTAACACTTCTACATTACTGTTCTCCATCCCCACAGCCAGCCACTCACCCGTGGGGCAGTAACCTGAGACAACACCGGGTTAGATGTGTTTGGAAAACCAGATGATATATCACTTAAACTGGTTATTTTGTTTCTTAGTAGGCCTAATAAATAACAACAAAAAATTCAACAATACATAGCTAAACTTTCCCAAGTCATCTCCTTTCTCATAAGCGGCATGTGTTAATGTAGGTTTGTAAAGGGTCTGTCAACGACCACTTAGAATAGAATCATGGATGTCGAAGTCTGACTTCTAGCACAGATGAAAAGTATGCTTCTAGCTGTGACTGTACTGCTGGGAAATTTTGTGGACTTGGAAAAATGTTAAGTATTTAACATTAAAAATATTGATCACAAGGAATGTTTACAAAAAAATATGAGCACTTAAAAATTTTTATACTCAAAATTTTATCAATTTTTATATTTTACTGCTCTTGAAATTTTGAGCCCCACCCACTTAGACATACCCAGAGAGAATATCTGCGAAGAGAAATCATGTTGGTGAAGCTGGCGTCCTTCACGCAGGTCCCATGAGCGGACAGTGTTGTCCAGACCTCCCGTCCACAGCTTGGTGCCGTCTGCGGAGATGTCAATACACGAGGCTCCGTCAGTGTGGCCCTGGAACTGCCTCACCAGTGTCTGGTTGTGAAGGTCCCACACTGCGATGTTGCCATCACTGCAGCAACTGAAGCACACCTGCCAACACGACAAATCATCAGTCAGTAACTCACATTGGTTAAAGATGGGTTAAGTTATGAAATAATTTACTTGGAAAAAAGAGCTTACAAAAGGTTGGTAAACTCCTTCATAGACTTGTAATACAACTATCTTTATCTACACTTGACAAAGTCCAAAGGAGATGAAATATAGTGTGCACTATAATAAATAATCTACCTAACTATTGTCTAAGATAAAGCTAGCTGTTTCTGCATCATTCTAAAGATCACAATCTTATCCTAGGGCCATTCCTCAAACAGATCTAGTACAAAACAAATCTGTTCAACTGATATAAGATTGCAATCTTAAATTCAAGTTTGGCCTTTAAATACAAAGTCTACAATGATAACATCTTTGAGCTTATCCGACTCATAAGAGGCTGTGGGGAGACAAAAGTGGCTACGCTGCAATTCAAGTCTACCAAAAAGGTTAAATAATAGATGGAAAGAGATATATGATAACAAGTACTACGAAATATCTACAAAGATTAACATGTGTTGCGTTTCACCTTGGAGTCTGGACTGATTGCAAGCGCGTAGCAGGCCGGAGCTGAGGACGTCAGTTCCGCCTTTATCCGGGGCGTGGGAGACGCCAGGTCCCAGATACTGAGGTTGCTTGCCTCGCCACCGACTATCAGTGTACGAGCGTCTGGCAGCAGCTTCACCGAACGAATGTAATTATCCCTTTGCTGTAACAAAAAAATATTCAATAAAATGAAATTAATGATCAATGCTATGCTTAAAAAAAGCCCCATAGCATTTGATAAGATGCTTTGAATAAGCATGATCAATATTATTACATTTCTTCTCTCCAAACGTCAAGTTGTTGTGATAGGCCTCTCTCTTGTTCATTTTGTTTGCACACAGTTGTTTTGATCTCATCCACTCTTCTTAGGAACAAGAAGTGGTGCAATCAATTGAGCTGTGACTCCATAACCAATGGTAGGTGTGTAACTATTTTCTACAGTAACTATCTCTTCTGCGTCCTAACGTTTTTGGGAAGAACAAGTAAAAAGTAACTAGAATGAAAATAGTATTTTTAACCCTACAAAGTAGAATGTACGTACTAGACAGTCTAGCTGTGAGACCGGTGCCTTGGCGTGTGGTTGACTGATGTCCCAGACCTTGACACACCCCTTGCCTCCCGTGTAGACGTACTTGGTAGGGTTGGAGATGGTGACGGCGCAAACAACCTCGCCATGGCTGAGTGTGTTGATCTGTCGTGCGGCACGGGGGATGCCGGGGCCTAGCAGCGCGTCCGACGGGAAAGGCACTGGCTGCAGCTGCCCGTCTCCGTTCATGTGGAATGAATACGCTCTGCAAACATGGAATATGGTGTAGGCAATGTATATTTTAGTGTTTAATTGTCTACCTCTTTGAAAAAATCTCAACAAAGAGCAGAAAATGTAGAAAAGAAAATAAGTAGAAACTTAAACATTGATATAAAATCTTGTTAAAAATTAAGATGTTTATTCTTGGGCCCTATAATAAAATGTGGTTCTCATAATTTTTTTTTTTGAAATTGTAGTATGCTTTAAAAACTAAACATAGGTTTATACTATAGTGAAAAAAACTTAAATACCAACTGATATAATTCTTTTCAGCAGTGCTCAGCGGAAGCCAGTAAAAATAGTTGGATTGACGACGTTTATTAAGATTGCTTAGAGATCCTTGGGGATCTGTGGAGAATGTTTAGTACACTATTTTAAACACTGACACTGAATCTACTTTTGTTGTTAACTCTAAATTGTTTGCTGTAATGCTAGCAATATCTTTTTTTTCTTTTATGAATAATGCAAAACCCATGGTGCATATGAACTATGTTATCAAACTTGGGAAAAACAGATACACTAATGAAATACTAAACATAATAATTAATAATATCTCTGATTGTTCAGGCTGAGTACAATAATTTAAATAATTTATTACCTAACTAAAAATAAAAAAAAATAAAATGAATGTATAAGAATTAGATCAATAAATTAAATTACAGTATATGAATGTTGTATTTTGAATTGAAAAGATATAATATTGGAATTTATTGTGTCACTGAACCAAATATCGGGTACCTACCTTAACATTTTACCTTGACTGAAAACACAGGATTAATAACAATTGCAAGAGTTTAACCAAACGTAATGCACCAGATGTATGTAACATGCACAATAATACAAGACAAGGTTATCAAGACTGATAACATTCTACTTTAACACGAGTAGACCATCATCCTCCAAAAAAATTGAAATACAGCGGCAACAGTGTCTACACAGATAGTAAAAATAGTATTGAACAAATTTAATTAAATAATTTATGAAAGAGTGTGATTGGCAACTGACCAGTTGTTCGATTCGGCACATGGGAATTTTAGGTGGAATTAATCACAACAGTGTTGTCAAATCCAGTGAAGACAGGCTAGCTCTGAGCTAAGCACACAGGGTTGTTAGTTTAATTTTGTGAGAGAAATTCAAGTAATGCAACAAATTGTTTGGAACTTGTTTCGCGACAATTGTATTTTCTACAGTAGAGTCCCGTTAGTCCGAAATGGTTGGGACTGGGCCCATTTCGGATTACCGAATATTTCGGATTAAACGTTTTTTTTGTTTTTTTTATTTTTTTTATTTAAAAAAAAATTTTAATTTTTTTTTAAATTTTTTTTATTTTTTGAAATTTTTTTGTCTTATTCTTACTACTTGGGATTGTTTTTCACATTACTTAAGGCTAGACCTATTGGCTGCAGCATTATCACTTAGTAAAATCCAATTGTGATTTGGCGGACGAAAATTTAAAATGTTACGGTAATAACAAAAATGGAGAAATATTAATTAACTAAAATACTCTACAAAAAAGTCTATCTCGCCTAGCCGCTACAGAATACTTTGACGAGGTACAGCTAACTGTGTCAAAAGTTTAATAAAAAAATTCAAAAACTTTCCAAAAAACTTCGAAAAATTTCGAAAAAAATTCAAAAAATTTCGAAAAAAATTTCAAAAAAAATCAAAAAATTTTCAAATTTTTTTTTTTTTATTAAAAAATATATTTTTTGGTTTCGGATTAAGCGGACTTTCGGATTACCGAAGTTCGGATTATCGGGACTCCACTGTATAAGAAATACAGGCCTACAAGACCTAAGATTCTAACTTTTTTACCGCAACCAAAACGCAATGCACTTTTAATTTGCTGATTTTACTTGTACGTGCTCATCTAATCAATCTCGGCTACCGACTGGTGACTTTGTCATAACCTTTCCCTAGCGTGGTCACCGTCCCTTCCACTCACATATTTAACGGTTTCCAGGAAAGTGGAGGTTTTCATGATTTTAGACGGATTAAAAAAAAAAGAATTTCGGCACGAAGAATTTTGGATGGATTTTTATTATATTCAGTAGATTCAATGATATACATTGAAAATTTTCATCAAAATTTAAAATTCATTACTTACGGTTTTCCGCCTGGAATGTTGAGGCCATTTGATCCGGAGACGGGAGCTCGGGAGTGCGGATGCCCATCGAAAGCCATCTGAACAAAACAAAAACAAATTAATTATAGATCAAATATACAGTCAAAACATCTGAAAATCATAGGAGAATTATTTTTTTTTACTTAATTGTTATAACTTACAGTCTTTCAAAAGATTGATCTTGAGATAACTAAGGCTATGAAAAATGACATAAGGACAAAGGAATGAGATAAGGATTATGGAAACCTATGGTTCTTGTTAAAACATCTGATTTTCTGGTAAATACACAAGCATCTGACCACAAAACTGAATTATAATAATTTAAAAACGGAATTTTTTTTCCCAATTTTCTCTCAGGAGAAGCCCTATATTAGGACTGAACTCCCTGTATTAGGTTAGTAGAACTCATATCATATCCCTTTAGATTTTTCAATAATACTTTCATTGAGTTAATATTTTTTTTACGATCTGCGGTAAATATTGTAAATGATTTTCTAAAAAATTGAAACTTCTTAGTCTTACCATATTGGGGGGTCGGGAGTAAGGGGAGGCTGCGGCGTTGAAGACGTCACCGGCGCTACGGCCGAGACCGAAAGATGGGTGCATGGGGGGTGGGACGGGGGGCTTGGAGCCCCCAGGGGCTCCCCCCAGGGTGGGGGTACTCGACTTGGATACTGGCGTGGGGGGCTTTTCCATCTAGAGATCAAAAATAGAATAATTTAAAAAAATAAGGTTACAAAACAATTTTAAATTCAAGTAGTATAAAAAGGAGTTATACATTTTTCTGGTACAAGTATACCATAGAAAGACTGATTACCAAATTAGTTAAGTGTATATTTTAGTAACTTTTAGATTTTCAGTTTTTTAAGATCATAGATTTTACTAATATAAAGCATTATCAAGATTTTAACCGTAAATACTATTTCAATAAGGTAATACCATCAAGTAACCACAGTACTGATATATAATCTTTTATTGGTATTCTTCCATACAAAAATAATCTATTCCAAAATATCGCTCAAACTTATTGCACTTAATATGTTACAAACTTTTTTTGTATGATGAAACAAAGGTAATCTTCAATCGTGCAAACCATTTTTGCCTATTAAGGATAAAAGTTATTACCTTTTTGGCGTTTGCTTTGATTTCAATTTTAGAAAATTTTCTTTTCTTGCCAAGACAGCCATAAGTAAAAAAAACTGCATTTTTAAATTGGTTTTGTAAATTGGTGGACAAACAAAGGCCCAACACTTAAATCAAACAAAAATGTTAACATTCTTCAGTCCAGCAAGGAAAATAAAGACAGCATTTCAAACATACTAATACCAAAAATATGAAAACATTTTTTAAAACAAAAATCCCACTAAGCTATCAAAGAAATTGGAACACTGAACAGAACAGCAATGTTAAAATTATTACCATCATTAAAAACTCAAATGATTTCAATTTTTGGCTTACTTACCCAAGTTTCAGAAATTGTTGAAAAATTTTACACCATTTGATTTTTTTAGATAAATTAAGTTATTTGCTAAATAACATTAACAATCCATGCCCATTGGTTGTAAATTCACCGAAGTCCTAAATTCCTTATCTCCTATACCTTTTGGCAGTGCTCGAATTGTAAATAATGAGGTGCCGTAACTGCTTATTAGCACTGCTTAATGCACTTAATTGCTTAATGCACTTAGTACCTATTTATGCCAATATTTTTTTCCAAAAGAGAGGAGAGCACTGCCTATTGGAGAGCAAACGACTATTAGCCAAATTTTATGCACTATGCTATTTAAATAAAGCATAAAGTAAGTTCCTTTGGCAGCTCAGAAAAGTACTGTACTGAATGTTTAATTCTTCTGGGCTTCAATCTAGTTGCACATTTACTTAAATAATAAACCCGTTGGAATACAAAATACAGGGTGGGGCAAAAAAAACTGATCCATTTTCTGCAGCGCACTGTTGAGCAACAGGTCGTCTGAGGGTGGTGGGAGTAGGCTAGTTGGAAAGCTTATACAATGCAATTTTTTGTAGAGCAGTAGTCGGATGAGCTACGTTCGGTTGTTATCGAGTTGTTTTTAAAAAGTTATGATTTAGTCATTGCAAGTCAGCGGCAGTTCCGTGCTTTTATTCAATTAGGTCGACAAAGAGAGGTTCCGTCGTGATTATCTGAATGGATGATTACCAAATTATACAGATTATTATTCTAATCCATAGGGATGAAAATTAACCTCAAAATTTGTTTAACTGAGCGGTCAGACATGTTCAAGGCAGGCGCTTGTTTTCGGGCTGGCCTACGAGGACTGTTTTCCACAGCAGCACAAACTCTATCGAATGTTTGTTGTCTGGCGTCCGATCTGACTTTGGAAGGCCTGTCAGCTTCCTTCTCAACGCAGACGCCGTTGTTCTAATGTAAGTAACCCACCGCATTATTGTGATACGGAGTGGAACTTCTCCATGTCGCCTTAACTGAAAAAATGCATGAAACTGCCGCTGAGTAGCAAGAATGAATTCACTATTTTAGAAAAACGACTCCATAACATATGCACTAGCTCAGGCAACCACTGCTCTATGACTACAAAAGATGGCATTGTGTAGGCTTTCCAACGAGCATACTCCCACCACTCTCGGACGACCTGTCGCTAAACAGTGCTCTGCAGAAAAAAGATCGGTTTTTTTGCCGCACCCTATATAAAGAGCGATTAAAATCTTGCTTCACAGAAGTAGTTTTAGTTTATACACAGAATCTACTGAGTGTAGATTAAATATTGATTATATTAAGTTACAGAAATTTTGTTTTGTATACTATTCAACTGTTGATTTGCTGTTGTAGTTAATGTGTTAGGTTTAGAGTAGGGTAGAGCATAAACTTGTTTATTGTACAAAAGGAAAACTTCCCTTGATTTGAAACTCGTTAAAATTTCGCCAAAATGTGGGTGACACAGTTAATTACTAGGCTAGAACACAAATTAGAGCCATCTTACATCTTTACTTTTGAGGGACGGAGTGGATCGGTTGGACGAGCAGGAACCGCTGCGGCTGGTCGGCCTCTCTATCTTGACACCCGCGGCCGCTCCTCCACTCGAGCCGTTCTCTCTCACATCACTAGACAAACTGTCTCCGTTGTGCTGCGGCGACCCTGCCTCCTGCGGACACAGACGTCCATACATTGAGGTGATATAGTGACAAATGCTATGTCATAAATAGCTTCAAAATCGTGAAGTGGTACGCCAAAAAAAGTTGAGAAATCTGATTTATAGTCTGTAGGCATAAGCAAAAATTATAGTTTCCAAAGAAGTAAACGGCATACAACAAATACATGTAGTAGGTAATTCAAAGAAATAGTGACTAGGCCTACTTTGTAATCTGATAAAATACTAAAATAAACAAGTTCAATAATAATAAAAAATCTTCGTTTAACATGATTAAAAGTCGGATACATTGAACGCACCATAGAAACTACCTCCGCACCCTAAAAAAACATAACCCCTTAAAATAAAATGTGGTGCAGTTTTGCATACGATTGTACAAAGAAACTCCAAATATAAAGGGAGAAATTATACCGTAACACATAGCTAAACAGTACCTTTTTAACAACGTTGTTATACTAAACCATTTACAAATATTTTTCTGAAATAATAATTTTAATGAATTAACATAATCCGATCATAATTTTGACTTTAATTAAATGTACATTTTAAAATATTTTTTGATGCCCAACAAAGTAGGGGGTAGGTGTGCCAAACCCAATTAATACCCTTTTTTCCACCTACGTATTTACCAATAACAAATGTTCTTAGTTGACTAACGGTTCAACATTATGGTTTAAGGCAAACATCGTTCGAGGATGGATAGGAAAATAGGATTTTTTATTACAATCGATATGTTAATAAGGGGTTTTTTAACATCCCTTTTTCACCCGCCCTACTAAGCTATTTTTACGATTAAGGTGTCATTTTTAAGCTTATGATCTAGTAGAGGTAAGAATGGCAATTAAAATGTAATTTCCTCATGGCTTAACCTCTTTGTGTTTGTTTTCTTAAGATGCTTTCTAAGTTAGAGTGCTTCTGACCAACATTCTATCCGTAACGGTTTTAAATGTGAATTGTATTTGAACGGCTAATCCAGTGCCGGATTTACCACTAGGCCGATTAGGCCGCGGCCTAGGGCCGCAAGCAAGAGGGGGCCGCAGAGGATTGGGAAAAACATTTTTTTAGATACAATTTTTAAAAAATAATTTATTTTAAACCACCAGTTTACCGCGATCACAGGTGACCATAATGATGTCTCCGTGGACCGAGGGAGATGTTCACGATTTTGCCGCGGCCTCGGGTGCCTGTGATTGTCCCGTGATTGTGGCCCGCGGGAGACGTTCATGATTTAGCCGCGGCCGCGGGTGACGTTCACGAATTAGATGCTGTATCGAGTTGTCAATGATGATGTCCCCGTGATTGCGGCCCGTTTGCGGGAGATTTTCACGATATCGCCGCGGTCACAAGTGTCGATGATGATGTCCCCGTCATTGCGGTCCGCGGTAGATGTTCATGATTTCACCACGGCCGCCATTGTTGACAATGCATCCCCGTGATTGCGGCCCACGGGAGATGTTAACGATTTCGCCGCGGCTGGGGGTGTCAATGTGGATGTCCCCGTGGTGGCTTACCGAGGAGGATGTTTATGATTTCGGCACGGCCGCGGGTGACAATGATGAAGTCCTCAAGATCGCAGTCCACGGGAGATTTTTTTAACACGAATTTGCCGCGATCGCAAGTGTTGATGATGATGTTCACGTGATTGCGGCTCGCGGCAGATGTTCATGATTTCACCGCGGCTGCGAGTGTTGATGATGATGTCCCCGTGATTGCGGCCCACGGGAGTTGTTAACGATTTCGCCGCGGCTGGGGGTGTCAATGTGGATGTCCCCGTGGTGGCTTACCGAGGAGGATGTTTACGATTTCGGCACGGCCGCGGGTGACAATGATGAAGTCCTCAAGATCGCAGTCCACGGGAGATTTTTTTAACACGAATTTGCCGCGATCGCAAGTGTTGATGATGATGTTCACGTGATTGCGGCTCGCGGCAGATGTTCATGATTTCACCGCGGCTGCGAGTGTTGATGATGATGTCCCCGTGATTGCGGCCCACGGGAGTTGTTAACGATTTCGCCGCGGCTGGGGGTGTCAATGTGGATGTCCCCGTGGTGGCTTACCGAGGAGGATGTTTACGATTTCGGCACGGCCGCGGGTGACAATGATGAAGTCCTCATGATCGCAGTACACGGGAGAGGTTTTTAACACGACTTTGCCGCGATCACAAGTTTCGATGATGATGTCCCCGTGATTGCGGCCCGCGGGAGATGTTCACGATTTTACTGCGGTCCCGGATAGTTATGATCACTAAGCCATCATAGTTATGATGGCTTTGACTTGGTTTAGGAGAGATGTCCACGATTTCATCCAGGATCACGGGTGTCGATGATGATGTCCCCTTGATGTATAGGAGATAGTCACTATTACTTCCGCGATCGCAAGGAATTTTCACCACAGGGGGAGGGCCGCTCAAGTAATTTGGCCTAGGGCCGCAAGTACCCTAAATCCGGCACTGGGCTAATCCTTAGTTTAAAACAGGCGTAATCTTTGAAAGGTAAAATATACTTATAGTTTTGCCTCAGGAACAAGTTTTGAATCGTCTTAAATGCACAATTCGCACATAGGTTCCCTTATGTGTGTATTTCTGCATTAATAATTGCAAAAATGCTAGCTGCAACAACCACAGTTAATCGACTAACTAGTATTTACCAAGGATTTGATTTTTTACCTCGTTAGCCACATCGACTACCAACTCCTGGTCACTCTTGTCCCCATCGCTATCCTGGAACATTAACTCATCATTAGTTCTTCATTCATAACACATTGAAACATTTCCTACCAGATAACAAACTAAATGGTTTATTTATTCAGTAATTGTATATATATTTATAAAAAATAATGGAATTTGATGTTTGGAGATGAGTGTGGGGTGGGGAAAGCACACAAAATTTAAGGAGAGTATAGTATTAATTCTTGAAATTTTGTCCCTATTGTCACAATATCATTATATTACTAACAAAATAATGCAATACTCTCTTTAAACATGTATCATATCAATTAATTTTTTTAAAACAATAACCATAGAGAAGTAATATCACATTTCAACAGTTGATGAGTGTGCAGTTCATTATGTGAGCAGCGCTCGACGAGGTGACACCAGATGAAAAACTACTCGAGCTGAAGAGCGGTTAAGAGGAACGGAGGGTCCTGCAGGCAAGGCTACTGCAAGACCTAACGAAGGGTGGGACAAAACCATCACGGCTGTAGTAATTAATGAATCGGTGGCGACGCGACTTCCCTATCCAAGTGGTAATAGTCCAACAGGGACATAGTTAAGTATGCTTATCCTCCCTCCCCACCATAGAGGGGTGGACAATGTACTGAAATATTGATGCTATTTATAGATTCTGCATTGTAGTTTTTTGTTTGTTTTATTTTAGTCTCTACACCAGTGGTAAACACCCACCAACTACTATGAGCTCACTATATAGTTGGGTTGAATCAACTCAAATTCTTTTCAGAGGTTCTAACTCAAACTGCTTGGATACAAACGAATATGTGAGGAATCAAACCTGTACACCTGTACATGCAAGTCGGACATGCCAACATTGATAGGTCGGAAAAACACTCTAAAAATTGATTTACATTATATAATGAGTATTGACTTTGATTTTATAAGCGCTTTTAATAAGGAATAATTCATAAATATAATCAATCGGTGATCTAGCAATTTATTAAAAAGCTTTTTTGGTCGGAAAATCACAAAAAAATTAAATATTGGAAAAAATGCATTTGTACTAAAATTAAACACCATCCATATATTTTAGTATAATTAAAAAAATAAATGAATAAATCAAACCAATTAAAAATTAAATAAAAACCACTTGCTTTACTTATTGGACTTGTTTCTTTTTTATTTTCAATCATACATCTAATCCAACCATCAATTAAAAATAATACACTCATTAATCCCTCAAAAAAAAAAAGAGAAAAGTGTAGACAAGAGTTTTACACAAAAATACTCATCATTAAATACATTTTACAGTGCTCATTTTCAACAGCACACTTTATCCTCTACATTACGTGGGATTGCAGATCGGAAAAGATTCGCAGAGAGGAAGACATCAGCAAGGCTTGTATGATCACAACACCATTGCTCATTTAATGGGTTCTCATTGTTCCAGAGCTCTCATTATCAGCGCTTGCTCGCGAGCACTCTGCTCTCTTCCCTCGGTTTCGTTTGCTCGGTTACTCATCATCTACCACAAGGACACTCGTCACCACTACGCTGCTCTAATGACGTTTTGTGTAAAACTAAATGTTCAAATGATGTTCTTCAGCTATATTTTTTTTCCATTTGGTAATTTGAACTGCTTTAAATATTAGTTTGCTCTACTCTAGATGACTTTAATTAATGTGTGCATACTTTCAAAATTAAAATATTTGATTTTTCAAATAGTTATTTTATATTTAAAAATAATAAGTTTGGCTCAAATATGAGTCTATTTTACTTCTGTCTGTCTTTATTATGATTAATACTTTTTCCATCAATTCTATGCTTATGAAATCATTATCAGTCTAAACTATTCAGTTTTTATGGTTTATTAGCATGTGCAACTGTCTGTCGACTTTTGCTCTGGTATGAAAAATATACATATTTGTATGGTTTTGGTTATCTGAGGTTAAATGGAATAGTATGCCAAATTAAAAACACAATTCACACCTTCAAAGTAACAGTTATCAATTATATTGACAACATAACATATTATAGAACCACAGACCAAACATTTAACACTAACAGGTTGGCCAACACAACTATCAAGTTTGACTGGTGACAATATTTTACACCGTACAGTTTGAGCCCGGCAGGTGCTAGTGAGGGACAGTGGCCAGCTGTAGACGATAACTTGACTGAACGGAGTCGATTTATTCAACAGTTTGACCAGATCATATGTGAGCCTGTGGCTTTGTCACAATTATTGTCATCATTACAACAAACCATCGTTAATTTCGCCCGTCCAACCATAACGCCACACAGGTAGTTAGTTACTGGCTGCAATTATTTATTTTTGGAATTAAATTATACTATCCAATATTGATGTTATAAGTTGAACGTTTTTATGTACATAAATATGAGTTTTACTGAATACTCTTCTTAACTGTTCAGTTAAGTGAACAGCGCAGTTTCTTACAATATTGAAATAACTGTTTGATATAATAAAGTGTGATGTATGTGTACAAATGACCATCAATTGATCAAATCTCCATTAACACGTTATTGTTGAATGTGTTAATTTCAAACTTCATTGCTTTTTATTTTGAAATAGGTACTCCAAGTTTTTTTTTTTATTAATTGCTTCATTTTGACTCAATTGAATTTTAAAGAATAGTCTTATAACATACATACAGTAATACAATACAAATTCAATAGTGTCTTAAATAACTTCTAAGCACAAACAAGTAGAGAATAAAAATTAAAAGATTTAACAAAAACGATTTCTGATACTGTATAAATATTACAAATGCTGTTTAAATTTGAGTTGTTAAAAATAAGCTCGTCGCCAAATACAAAATTAAAGAGTCTTGACCTCCCTTCAAAAAGGAAGATTGAGGTTTTAGAGAAAAGGACCGAATATAATATGACTGCATCGGTACTAATAAAGTAGGGTGTTGGTGTCTGAAATACAAAATATTTAGACTATTCCATCAATGAACATTGCGTTACTTGATTTAATATTAAACCATTAATCCAATAACCATTACATCTGGACTAATGTGTTTAACCATTAATCTGTTCTAGTTTTAAATAGTTTACCGGTTGGATCTAAACTAATTAATTAAGTTTAGAAAATGAAACAAAAATCCATGTAATTAAAAGTTAGTGTAATTAATGTAACTATCAGAGTTTCAAAATTTAACAAATATCCTTTCTTTGATCAACATTCTGCAGCGAACAACTAAAAAGAAAATAAAAAAGCTTAGTTAGTTATTAATTAAAAAGATAATAAAAGATATATGACAGAGCGCTTGGAAATTGCTATCATTGTGTCTTACTCTATAATCTTTTAAACAAGGGATTTTTCAGTTTTGATTTACTTTCTACTGTATTGCCTTGTTGTCATAACTGTAAGGTTGTTGTCATAAAATACAGTGTCCAATTGATTGATTAACATCCAAAATATTTTATTGAAAAAAACTCAAATGTGAAACAAATTCTTTTTTTGTCATAAACATTTTTTAAATGAGTTGCAAACTTGTCTGACAAATCCATGACAAAAAGTATAATAGAGCCCTGGTTTGGAGAGAGGAACAATAAATAACATGGGACAATGAAACGACCTGCTTTAGGCAACAATAAAAAGGTGTGGCGCAGCAGAAAAACCGGCCACATAAAACAGTAGAAAACTCATCACCTGGCTGAATACTGAGAGAGGGAGGGAGGGATCAATATGTCCACTTACAGACGGAATGGGAATGATCATCCGTTAGTGCTTCTCACACTACGCAGACGACATGAACGCAAACAGGATGAGTCGAGCACAAACAAAATCATTTTAGGAAAAATAAAGTTAAATGTTAAATAACAATTTTAAAGACAAGTTATTGAAACAAGTCCTCTCTATATGGGGTTAAAAATTTACAATAAAATTCCAATCTCCTTAAAGCAATTAAACTTAGCAAAATTTACAGACAAAATCAAAACAGTTTTAGTAGAAAAAGCATGTTAAACTCTTGAGGAATTTTTCAACGACTCCTGGTAACAGACACCCAATCTCTCATCAACCTCTCCTAACATAAACAGTTCCACCATGCTGTAGCTTTTGTAGGGGTAACTTACTGGCTAAATCTTAGGTTTTTTATATATTTAGAATTCCTTATTTATTAGAAACCTTGACAATGTACCTGTCTGTGTATTACGTTTGTAATAATTTTAACAGATGTTATGTGCAATGAAGAATTGTCATTTGTCATTAAATGGGTGTAAAATAAGTGTAAAATTGTAACAAATTTAAGAGACCCCTTTAAGACCCATCATCCTCTTACGTCAGCTATTAACAATATTACATAACCTTAGGTCCTGTCAGTAGTTGTAGTGTAGGGTGCTTTTAAGCTTATTTATTACTTTACACTATAGAAAGACATTCTATTCCCATGTAAAAGTTGTTGGCAGTTTTTTAATCAAAATTGTCGAAGTTTATGTGAGCCACAGACAAGATTGCACTGATCTAAATCACTAATTTATGTTGAATACACAGACTTTTTAACAAAGTCGAACTAATGGAATGAATTATGGTGTATAGGAACTGTTATGACCCATCAACTTGTTCAGCAATAATAAATAGGGTAGAAAACAGAATTTTAGACCCTAGCGCATTCTGTGACTGGCTCACATAACTATGTTCTTTTTTAATAAAAAAAAAAAATTGCTACAGCTGTTTCCTTATAGATGGGATGTCTACTTCAGTATCCAATAGTCAATGCTTATACACTATAATATCTCCTCTACTTTATCAAACACTGAGTAATTCTTTAAACCTTAATTTTTTTATAATAACCATTACTAACCCAACAATATTAAACGTAAAACAAACTGTACAAAATCAGATCAGCCACCATAAATTTGCCTAAAAGATAAATGAGAAAAGTGTCAAAGTATGATAAGCGATAAAATTTGTCCGATGACCCATACATTTCAAACGGAAAGATAAAATAAATATCAGCGGAGGACGATATATTACAACAGATAGACAGGCTGTCGCGTATATACAATGGGACTGTGTC